AATGCCGGTACTACACCAGGGCATTTAAAGAGTGGGGGTTGATCACTGACTGTCCTTTTTCTGTACCATAAATGTTGCACATGTGAGGAGACAGGCATGCGGGCTCATTTGACCCTTTGTGACGTAACTACTTCCGTGCTGTATTGACCATGCACAAGTTGGACCCGGAGAAAACAATAGGACGTGGAGGATACAACTGCATAGGAACCTTTATAAATACTATACAGTACCTTGAGACTGTCTGGAGGACCCAGGAGTCCGAGATGACAGCGGACCAAGTTTGAGAAAAATGGGTGAGTCTTCCCCCACAGGTAACTGGGAAAAAGATTAAAATAGATGGTGATTCACCGAATAGCCGTCTAGACAAGGAGGATCCGCTGTCGCCTCTGAAACACCAGAGACGTTCCCTCTGTGGGAAGAGGAGGGATGGAGTCCTTGAGTCCTATGTTGGAGTTATATATCCTGGAATAGACAAAATTGATAAATATATTTTGTAAGATCCACCCACATGCTTGAGCAAATCCCTCTCACGTGACTAATAGATTGTACGGTAGAGAAATTGTCCATCCATAAGAGAATGCATCAGATCAACAAGCCCCTGGCAAAATGTCGATGGAGAAAGACTTTATGATCAACTCCAGTCGATTGATGTGCATGAAGATTTGATGTTCGACCATGGTCTTTCTGTCTACCGAATCTTACATATAGCAGCCCAAACGAGAAGGTTGGCATCAGATTCCAAGACAGAAACCAAGAGTGGGACCAAAGATCGCTTGTGGAAAATTTTCGTGTGGATTTTTAATGTGTACATTTTAGCTGATCACTGGCAAAAGCACCTCTGGAAGCTGGATTATGAAACATCTTCCTCATGGAAGACCGTGCCTTGTTTAGTAAGAGAAAATTTTCATGTTTTTGTTAAGTTCCTTTATAAAAGCATCTCCAAAGAGCATGCTCTAAGCAGTAGGGCTGAGTTATTTCAATCCTACATCTGCCAATTTAGAATCATTTCTCATCAGAGCTGCTTTTCATCTTTCAGAGGCCAATTTTCAGCAGTGCTGAGTTTCATCTGGCATCCAATGGCATGCCCCAGGACAGGGCATTATCTACAAATACAGTATTAGTGCCAATGCCCATAATGTCAAGCAGTTTATTGTGCTCCACTTGTGTGGAGGTCATTTTAAATACCGTTTTGAGGGTAACATCCACTGTGGGACCATATAATAAGTGACCATGGTAAGGTCAAACTCTGTGGTTTGGCTCACCTTCTCTTATAAGGTAGGTCTTGGCATTCTTCTAGGAGGTGGTTATGGACATCCATGTATAGTGGTTTATCAACCATACGTGTAGAACTTTTGATATGTGATCCAGAGGGACCCAGTCCCCATATCATGGAGATCAGATTTTGTGTGGGAAAACATTTGAACTCCCTGGGTATCCAGGATGATGTCTGTGGCTGCCAACCTCTTTGAGTTTTGCTCAGTGGCCATTTGGTGCCCACCCACAAATGTTTCCTGGATATAATGGAAGGTGAGGTTCCAAGCTATCATCCTTGACCAAAGCCAATTCTCAGCTTGTATCTCACCCACTACTGACAAGGAGGGAGGTAATTAAGTCAGCCCCATCCAGGACACCTTCTGGCCTTTGGACACTATTTGTATTTTGGCAGGGGCCTTGTCCTTACATTATCTGGTGGGTCTAAATTCACCCTACCAATGTTTGCATTTTTGAAGGCACATGCCGGAACTCTAGAAGAATAATAACTTGGCAATGATGGTTATAACGATCATCTAACTCAGTAAAATATAACAAGATTTACATGTCAGGTGCCTGTTGGCACTTAATTCTAAGGCGCCACCTGACTTCCCCCTGCCCCCCCTCAAAAATAATGTATATAAATAAAATTAGTTTGATGAATATATTGACTAGTTGTTAAAGGCAAAAAAGTCTAAAATACATACACTGATATTTGATAACTGCGTATGTATATTTGTATGTGTGTGCATATTTCTGCTTGTATTGTGTTGGAATCTGTGAGTACATGGAGTGTATATAGCTGTGTAAATGCATGCAAAGTTAAAATTTATGTTAGAAGTGATTATGGTAGAGAGGGGTTTAAAGTTAGAGAGGAGATAAATCAGAGTTAGATTACATGTGGTATTGAAAGAGGTTGTAGAGGAGTACATTGATAGCTTAGTTAAACATAAGATTATGGTAGAGGTTTTTTAGGATGTAAGTGCTAAAATATGGGGCTAAGTAAAAGGTTTGTTTATGTTTTGAGAGTGGTTAATTAAGGGTAGGGGAAAAGGGTTGTTCATGACATGTGGTGTTTGAGAGTTTATTTGCAAAGTACTCATCCTCCCATCTCTCAGACTTTCGGCTGCCTATGACTGATGACAGAGATGGAAAAGTTATACAGTGTGTATCACTTAATGCTGGCCCTGCTCCTCATGCAATACATTTCCTGTGTGAGATGCTGTTAGTGTGCAGATAGGAAGTGATCCATTCCACTTCCTGTCTAGCCTCACATACAGACACTGACATACATGGGATAGCACAGGGTGTTACACCCTCTATAACTTCTCGTGCAGCTCTGCTATCATGCATAGGAGGCTGGTACTTATCACTGCCTATCAAGCCAAGGCTGCTGGTACTTATCACTCCCCATCAGCTCTAAAAAAAGGCACATTATATGTGTTGAACACAGGCGTTTCCTACAGGACAGACATCTGTAGGCTGGTGCCTACTCTGATTAATGGGAAATCCAGCTTTGTTACCCGTACTAGAAATGTAATTGGCTACACCCAATAGACCCAATAAGATGCCATTACTCCAAACTTATTGACAAACATTTAAAAAAAATACTATTCTGATATTTAAAGTTAAAGACATCCAGAAACATAAAAGAATTGTGAATCACATCCACAAACTAAATCTGGGTTTACAATACTAAAAGAAGTAGATTTGACTTATTCCACCATTGACATACTGCAAGCTTAAAGAATATAAGACACCTCTCTGCTTCCTACAGCTACAAAACCATTGAAGTCGCAATCCTTCTTCACAGACAATTTCAATACAATTTCCATTAAAACACTTTCAACTAAGACATAATACTTTACTTGATCTCTTCAAGGACTCAGTAATTCAATTGTTGAATGTATGCCATTAAGTAACTGATATTATATTCTTTCATGAATTACTTGACAAAATATCTTTCTCAGAGATCCTTAACCTCCTATTTGTAGGGGACTTTGACATAATTATGGACTATTCACCTGAGACATTGACGTGAACCTCCCTTACCCTAATTGACCTGACCATAGGCATCTTGTCTCTCACACAAACACTAAATTTGACACAGTACTGGAGACTGATGACATGGCAAAGAAACGGACATCACCTTCTGTCCTTGTTATGCAATAGCTATTCATGAATCAATTTATTTTTCCATTTTTTGATTTTCTTCCATGATGCCAAGAGAACAGCATCCTTCTCCTCTTGACTTGCATAAGGAATTAGTACAACATAAGCCCTACTTGGCTATACAACATGTCCCTTCTCCCAATAAGTTCAAAGCATAAAAATAAAAAATCTTAGGCACTCACTGTGATAAATTCAAGCAGATTTAATGGACACAGCAACGTTTCGACCTGTACCCAGGTCTTTATCAAGCTAACACCACATCAAAAAGTGAACATTTAAATACACACATAATTAATGTGAAATTACAAAATTGATTTAAACACACGGTCATATAATTAAAACACACAATGATGTAATGAAAAATTAAATCAACTAGTTAATTCAGCTCTCCAGCTCTTTACAAAACATGGCAAAAAGGAGGCAGTACATGCCATATACATAAAACAAAAAAAAGGGATAAATAAAATCCGCAAGGATGTATATAACCCTCCACTCACTGTGAAGAAAATCCCATAATGGGCAAAATAATAACTCCACTAAAAAAGTAATAATAATCAAAAACTAATAATAATCCAGTACCCAGTAAGAAACTCTATCCCGGCGGCCCGATACAGGGGATCAGGGACGGAATGCCTTCGGCCCCCGAGCAAAATTAGAACCTGGGCTCCCTGCAGACCAATAGATATGCTGGTATATATGATGGTGTAGATGTACCGTGTATTTGATTATATGTGCATGTAAAGTGAATGTATGCTTCTGTGAGTATATTCACTGTGAGCCTTGGTGTAAGTGAATATATGTATGTTTTTGTGTGTAGTATCAGGACTAGAGTTGAGCGGACACCTGAGCGGGTTTGGCCGAACTTTGAAAACAAGTCCGGGTTCGGGATCGAACTTGACCCCAAACTTGACCCCGAACCCCATTGAAGTCAATGGGCACCCGAACTTTTGGCCAGAAAAATGCCTCTAAATAACTCCTGGAAAGAGCTGCAAAAGCAAGTAAAATTGGGGTAAGAGTAGGACAAGTGCCCTGCAAACAAATGTGGATAGGGAAATCACTTAAAATAACATAAAAATTAAAAATACAGCTGAGCCATAAAATAGCACTAGATGGAGTATTTGATTTTAGCTTTGGAAGAACATAAATCAAAATCTAAAGCATGGCTGTCAGGAGGATAAACATAATTATCCATTTGAGAGAGGGTTGGAGTGCAGGGTATTCTCTTTCATTGTTCAAACTGAGCTCAACTCCTGATGCATGGAGAAAAGGCCTTCACAAGTCTCTGCTATTATGTACTTAGTTTATACTAAGTGACCCATAGGTTGAGGAGGCGGTGACCGTGGCGGTGTAGGTGGAAGCAGCGGTGGAGGAGGAGGATGAGGTAGCCAACACTGTTTGTTTTTTTTTGTAATTGTGGTAGCCCACAAAATATTAGGACATACAACAAAATAAACATTTGCGGCCTGCGGTGCATTTCTTGCAGTCCTGATGCATGGAGAAAAGCTTAACTCCTGATGCATGGAGAAAAGACCTTCACAAGCCTCTGCTAATGTGTACCTAATTTATACTAAGTGACCCATAGGTTGAGGAGGCGGTAACCGTGGCGGTGGAGGAGGAGGATGAGGTAGCCAACACTGTTTATATATATATATATTTTTTTTAATTGGGGTAGCCCCCAAAATATTGGGATATATAAAAAAAAGACAACTCTGTTCCGCAGAGTAGCTGTTGACATTATAGTTGCGCAGGAACTTTGTTGACTCTTGAGAACCTCATCCAGTTTCTGCGCCTACCATGGTGGCCACGGGTAATGGGGAATCAGGGTTCCATTCCGTACAGGGACCCTGAGAAACGGCTACCACATGCAAGGAAGACAGCAGACGCGCAAATGACCCACTCCCAACACGGGAAGGTAGTGACGACAAATAACAATACAGGACTCTTTAGAGGCCCTGTAATTGTAATGAGTCCACTTGAAATCCTTTAACTCTGATCAATTGGAGGGAAGTCTGGTGCAGAGCCACTGACCCGTGCGTGCTGCAGCTGAAATGCCACTATCGCCTGGTGCTGCTAGCACAGTCTCATGAGGCAGTGAGCGGGAAGGCCGTAGTTACGCTGCAGCGCAGACAGGCGAGCAGCAGCAGGGTGACAACGACAAATGCGCACAGCCGCTACAGTGAATGTCACATCCTGTTCCAAGTTGCGGATCAGTCTGGTGATGGCTTCTGGTATCAAGTACTCTTTTTACTGAAGCTGTGTCAGGGTCCTGGTATGTGGCCGCACAAACGCTGGTGCTCAACACCAGGGGGAATGCGGTTACCCTGCACCAGACCCTATTAATCCATTCCACACTGTGACTAATAACTTCAACATCGGACATACTGGGTCCCGGTCATCCGACCGCCGTCCAGACAGTGTCTGGGTCCTGGTCACCGGACTGCCCACCTCACTGTGAAACTACAAATGGATCATTAAATCTGGTACGAACCCGAACTTTGCAGTCTATTATGGATCCTTTGATCGCTACATGTTTTACTTGGATAACTGGTAATTCTCGAGCTAATACATGCCGACGAGCGCTAGGGGACGGCTGCTCCACTTTTGCACCCTGCTCCCTCTTATGCTGTGCTGGTGCCTCTGTGAGACCAGCGCCTCTTCCTCCAAACTGCACACATTTCTCGCATGACCTTGATTCCATGTGGGGTCTAGGACCTCATCATCTTCCACATCATCTTCCACCCACTCCTCAACCCTGCCCTCCTTGCCGGTATGCACACTGCAGAAAGCCACAGTGGTTGGCACCTGTGTTTTTCCAGCATGTAAAATCTGCAAAGGACATATGGAAATTGTTTTAGAATTGTATCCAGGCAACATTTTTCCCTATAAACTGACCTCTCAGTTTGACTTGGGAGGGTATTGCCCAAGAATTACAATATTGTTGAAGTACCTCTTAGCTATTGATCACTGGTTTGAATATAGCAGCTTGTTATCTGGTAGTTTCTAGTGTTGAAAATATCAATCTGTTTTCTATCACTTAGATCTGTGTAACAAGTGTTGTAGGTGTGAAACAGTATTACAAGTGACCGATGTAGTAAATTCGAATCAAAGTTACTCTTCGATTTGACTCTCATATATGAAGTGAACACCCCAATATACTATTTAGCACCAAAAATAAATAAATAAATTGACTTTTTAAAACTCCAATTTAAGCAGCAGATTATCAGCAAAACAATTAGAATGTTTACAACTGCGCAGTAAGCTCATTATTTGACGCTTCTATTTGACTCTCAGATATGAAGTGTACCGCAGGCCGCAAATGTACTATTTAGCAGATTAGCAGCAAAACAATTAGAATGTTTACAACTGCGCTGTAAGCACACTATTAGACACTTCTATTTGACTCTCAGATATGAAGAGCAGGCCACAAAATGTACTATTTAGGAGACTAGCACCCAGAAAATAAGAATGCTTACCACTGCCCTGTAAGCACACTATTAGATGCTTCTATTTGACTCTCAGATATGAAGAGCATGCCCCCAAAATGTACTATTTAGCAGATTAGCACCCAGAAAATAAGAATGTTTACCACTGCGCTGTAAGAACACTATTAGACGCTTCTATTTGACTCTCAGTTATGAAGTGCACCGCAGGCCCCAAAATGTACTATTTAGCAGATTAGCAGCAAAACAATTAGAATGTTTACAACTGCGCTGTAAGCACACTATTAGATGCTTCTATTTGACTCTCAGATATGAAGTGCACCCCCCCTAAAATACTATTTAGCAGTTTAGGACCCAAAAAATGTTAAGTTTTAAAACTGCAATGTGACAGCAATATTTGTCTCTTCTATTTGACTCTCAGATATGAAGTGCACCCCACTAATGTACTTTTTAGCACCCAAAAAATTTTGAGTTTTAAAACTGCAATGTGACAGCAGTATTTGACGATTCTATTTGACTCTCAGATATGAAATGCACCCCACTAATGTACTACCCCACTAATGTACTATTTAGCACCCAAAAAAATTTACTTTTTAAAAATCAGATGTAACCGCGGTATTTGAAGTTTCTATTTGACTCTCAGATATGAAGTGCACCACACCCCACTTATGTACTAGTTTGCAGAATTCTTTCGTAAGCTGTCCCTATCAGCGGCAGCATCCTCTCCCTACACTAATAAGACCGCATGTGCGTGCGTGCGGTGCTACGCGACTCCAGCTTATGTATATAGGCTGAGACAGCGCCGGTGGACCATTGTGATGCTGGAATAAAGGTAAGTTTATGATAGTGAGGAATTTTCTTTGTCAGGAATTTCCCCTTGCCATGGTATTTTGTATCAATTTGCACCTCTCTGTATTTCTCCTTGTACTCAAACCATATGGTGATGAGCCCCAATGAACGAGATAAGACAAAGTAAGGTTCAAGGTGACTTCTGACATTTAATGGGCTGTGTAAAAGGTTATATTCAGCAGGAAACGGGGGTGGTCTTTACACGCATTATCCAATCCTAATAAAATCATCTATCTTATCTTAACATCTTAACCTATAGCAAGCTTGCAGGTGTATCTTCATGTCCGGGCCTTGCACAAAGCTAAGTTTCACTATAACTACACACTTAGAATTAATATGCATACGCACTTAGAATTAAGGAAATAAGGCCAACAGCAGAAACACACAGGATATAACACTAACACTTGTTACACAATGTTCTATAGCTCTTGTCTAGGGGTATATTCACTAAGCATTGTATATAGATAAAGTATATTATTTCAAATAGCTGACATGTTCCAAGTTAGTCAGTTTTAAACAGACTGAGCATCCGGTCATCTGTAGCTTGAGCCTTGGGTAAATATAGGCAAAGTGTATTATTCCAAACAGTTTAATACCTTTTTAAGGGGGCTAAGGGTGTGCCAGTGACCTAAATAATGTTTTTAACGCAATAGGGTCAGGATACTCATTTGTATTCCTGACGCTATAGTGTTCCTTTAATGCATGTTTTTTTGTTTTTTAATTATTTCTATTATTATTATTATTATTATTATTATTATTATTATTATTATTATGTTATTATTTATATAGCGCCAAAATTATGCAGCACTTTACAATGGGCGGACGAACAGACATGTAGTTGTAACCAGACAAGTTGGAAATACAGGAACAGAGGGGTTGAGGGCCCTGCTCAATGAGCTTACATGCTAGAACGGGTGGGGTAAAGTGACACAAAAAGTAAGGATAGTATTAGACTAATGACAGTTGCAAGAGAGGAATCAGTCGGGAGCTATTAACAGTTTAATTGATATGCTTTTATGAAGAAGTGGGTTTTTAATGATTTTTTGAAGGAGTGGAGACTGGGTGAGCATCTAATGGACGAGGGAAGAGAGTTCCACAGGTGCAGACCTCGAGAAATCTTGTAGGCGAGTGTAACGGCATCGGTACGCCAACCGAGTACCTTCCGTTGATGGACGCTTCCTAGCTTGCGCCGAGGACCACAAGCACTGTACCGGACACCACAACCACCGCAGACTCCACAACCGCCATAGCTTAACATGAGTCTCGCCATCTTCCTTCCACCAGGCCCGGACTGGCCAAACAGGTTAATACCTTTTTAAGGGGGCTAAGGGTGTGCCAGTGACCTAAATAATGTTTTTAACGCAATAGGGTCAGGATACTCATTTGTATTCCTGACGCTATAGTGTTCCTTTAATGCATGTTTTTTTGTTTTTTAATTATTTCTATTATTATTATTATTATTATCATTATTATGTTATTATTTATATAGCGCCAAAATTATGCAGCACTTTACAATGGGCGGACGAACAGACATGTAGTTGTAACCAGACAAGTTGGAAACACAGGAACAGAGGGGTTGAGGGCCCTGCTCAATGAGCTTACATGCTAGAACGGGTGGGGTAAAGTGACACAAAAAGTAAGGATAGTATTAGACTAATGACAGTTGCAAGAGAGGAATCAGTCGGGAGCTATTAACAGTTTAATTGATATGCTTTTATGAAGAAGTGGGTTTTTAATGATTTTTTGAAGGAGTGGAGACTGGGTGAGCATCTAATGGAGGAGGGAAGAGAGTTCCACAGGTGCAGACCTCGAGAAATCTTGTAGGCGAGTGTAACGGCATCGGTACGCCAACCGAGTACCTTCCGTTGATGGACGCTTCCTAGCTTGCGCCGAGGACCACAAGCACTGTACCGGACACCACAACCACCGCAGACTCCACAACCGCCATAGCTTAACATGAGTCTCGCCATCTTCCTTCCACCAGGCCCGGACTGGCCATCGGGCAGACCGGGCAAATGCGTTCCATGAAGGGCCGGTGGAGAGATCAAAGATCTCCCTCACCGGTCCACATGCTGTCAAACGCAGAGCTCTAACTTGCAGCTCTCGTGAGATCCGGGCCTCTTACCCCCAGCACCTTTCTGTGTCTCATTCTTACTCCAGACCCTCTCAGTGTCTCTTTTTTACCCCTCTTTCTAACGGCACAAGTTTGGAGCACGTAAGACCACTGAGAAGCGGATTACAGTAGTGAAGGCGAGAAAGAACGGTGGAATGGACCAGCACCTTAGTCGCATCTGGCGTTAGGTTAGATGTGCGCCCTAACAGACAGCACCCTCACACAGCACCCTAACACACAGCACCCAAACACACATCACCCTCACACAGCACCCTAACACACATCACCCTAACACACAGCACCCTAACACACAGCACCCTCACACACATCACCCTAACACACAGCACCCTCACACAGCACCCCAACACACATCACCCTAACACACATCACCCTAACACACATCACCCTAACATATATCACCTTAACACACATCACCCTCACACAGCACCCTAACACACAGCACCCTAACACACAGCACCCTAACACACAGCACCCTAACACACATCACCCTCACACACA